ATTGCAGACTTTGGATGATACAGAACGAGGAGTAGGTGGTTTTGGATCAACTGGAACCCAATGAAGTTATGGTTTTCATTTTTATCGTACATTTATGTACAAGCTTCTATTTATCATATGGTTTATAATTTTTTACTAAGATTGTCTTTTTTTTTTTATTTGAAAGTATAATATTTTTTGTAATTTTATGAGAAAAAAATAAATGCAAAAAATATGTACCTGTTTTGTAGTTTTTTAAAAAATGTTTTATTTATTGAGTTTACAAAAATAATGTATTTACAAAAAAAATTATAAATATTTATGCTCTAGAGTATATACAAACAAAATTGTTATTTGTGACAGCAACGAGGTAATTACCACTAGAATTTATTGCACTTTTAGCAACTACTATATCATATACATCCACTTCCAGTTTTTTCTTTTTTTTCAAATAATTGTCATGGGGTTTTGGCCACCTTAAAATCTTGCAAGGATCAATTACTTCTTTTTTATTATTAGTTTTAAAGTTCAAGTCTTCTAGATCATAAATCCATATAGCTCCTTTATCATCACCACACGCAACAATTTTTCCATCTATATTGAAAGTAAAGAAAAGTAAATAAAAAATAGGATAAATTATAATTTTATGATATTACCTAAACCAACACCACAACTCATGAAATAGTTATCTGAATCACTCCAATTTAACACATATGTTGGCTCAATAATACATTTATCATTGTTAATTTTTGATAATGCACTCTCAAGATTAAAAATATACATGACACCGTGTAATGCAACTTTAGTAATTATCCAACTACCACTAATCACTTCAACAGAATCTATTACTTTTTCATATTGGTTTTTATACAACTCGTTGGGATTTGATGGAAGTTCAAAAACAATTGTTTTTAGACCATGTCTACAAATAAATTAATAATAATTATCTTAATGATAAAGCTACAAAAAAGTTTAAATTAAAAAAAAAATTATTCTAAAATTACATTTAAAATCATTCTTGAATATATATTTCTCTATATTATCATTTCATTGATATTATAGAATCTATAGTGATATTTAGTATAAGTTTAAAAAATTAATTACAGATTAATTTAAGTAAAGTATTCAAAATTTACACTTAAGATTAAAATAAAATATATAATGATCTAAAATAGGAATTGCCCTGAATAATGTTACATATCAGTAAGCTTAATTTTGCTTATGAAGTAATATGTTTCATAGATTCTGATATTATTCTATAAGATAAGATTATTCCAAATACTATGTAATTAAAAATGAAGCACTGGAAAAATATATGATTTTCCAATTGCCAAATCTTTCTCTAATTATAGTTAATATCATTCATATTATACAAATAATTAAATGTATTAAAATAAATGATAAATACTGAGTATAAATAATAGTCTATTTTATATCTATATAATATCAAAGAAAAAAATATATGATATTTTGCAAAAATTTTTTCTAAAAGTTGAGTTTTATTGCAATCCAATAAAACTATCTATTATATTGTCACATGTGGGATTTTTCAATATTTTAAATAATGTAAAAATTAAAAAATTTTTTATTCTATCATACTCAAGTATTTTATTCATTGTTACACCCAACAGACTTTTGTTTGTAGAGATTAATAAATAATTATTCTTTTCACAACATGTTAACCCAAAAATTTCCTTTTCTGTTTCTATTATATTTAGTTGCTCAATATTTACAACTTGAGAGTTAATTACATCGAATCCAAATACATGAATGTTTCCAATATTTAAAGCACCTAAAAAATGTATAAAACAATTAATTTATACAAAATATTTTTATGTTGTCATCAATATATATGTTTATATAATTGTGATAAATTGTAAAACTAAATTTCCATACACATACCAATTGTGTTACTAACAATAAGACAAATTATGGCATATATTTTTATATGAATAATAAATTATAATAATTTTGTTACATATATTTTATTTGAATAATTACATATCTTTAAATCTAGCAGAAATAATATTTACCAATCAACCAAAAAGTAGATTGTTGATAATTAATGGTTCAATTTAAAGTTGAGTTATAAGTTTAAAAACTAAATTTTTTTAGAAGAGCAATTTAAACATTTTAATAATATTATAACTCATAAAAAAGATTTTTGTGTTATTATTGATTAATTTGTAAAATGTTCTTAGGATTATACAATCTACAAATTTAGTTCTTCAATGTATTTTCAATTTTTTTCTATTTAAATGGGATATTTAAATATTTAGATTAAGACTTGATTTTAAACAAAACTAACTACTATATTGACTTCAAGTAAAAACAATAAGTCAGGCTTATTTTATTGGTCAACTTAAATTTTAGGTTAAGAAAAAATATTATTGAGACCTACCTACTTATTTAGAATTTACTATATGTATTAAAAAATACTTAGAGCTGATCACTCAAAATTTTTACAATCAATGATCCATGTTTATAGTGATATCTAAACTAATAATAGTTTTTGTAAAAGAAGGATTTACATATTTTATTATTATTCTATAGAAATAATTATGATGAATTTTTTATTGATAAGATATTTGCATTTTTTTTTTTTTTTAGTTATATTGTTTGTAATATCTAACTAATACATTTTAATTTACTTACAAAACAATTTTTTTTCATAAGGATGGAATAATATAGAACTAACAAAAATTTTTTTGTTATTTTTTTGAGTAAGATCATATGTAAGATATGCTNAACTAACAAAAATTTTTTTATTTCTTTGAGTAAGATCGTATGTAAGATATGCTGATTTAGATGATAAATCAATAAAAACTATACTACTATAGGTCCCTGAAGTTGCTAGTATTTTATTAGGTTGACATGACATACACCATGATAGAGTGTAAAGTAAACCTCTGAAAAAAAAACATAGTAATTAATATTTATTAGTACATTAAATACCCAACTAGAATGAAATTTATGAAGCAAACAATTTCATTCTTATCCCACCCTAAAATTATTTTTTTATAATAATACATATAAATTTCTTAATAAATTAAAATTTTTGCGGGGGGCAAAAACAATTTTTTTTTTTTATTTCTTCAAAAATTGAACTTTTTAATAATTAAAAAGTTTAATTAAATTATTTGATAAATTTTTTTAAATATTTTCCAACAAAAAATGAATATACAATCAGTCTACTTATTTAAAGTTACCCCACTTCACCTTAATTTTTGTACTAAAACAACTTAAAAATATCATTATTATAGAAAATTTATTTAATCAGAATATACAAGGTGATTATTTAATGAACTGGCGTACACTAAGAGGGGGGGGTTAGAAACCCCCTCAAAATTTATAAGCTAAGCGACAAGTTTGGACAATAAACAAAAAGTAATAACAATAAAAAAGATCATACTATAAATATTTCCAATATAAAGTAAATGAAAACAGGAATTTTTGTGAGCGAACAATATGGGCAGTATCACATCTAATTTTCTTTAAATTAAAAAAAAAAACCCCCCAAAATTTTTGTGTATGTTACTAATTTAATGTAAGCTAATAATTTTCTCTTAAAATAATTTTTTTGAGAAAATTAATTTTGGTATTTTTTAATATTTTATATTACTTTATATCAATTATTAAAATACTTTTTAAACTCATTCTTTATAGCTTATAAGGGTACCAACATTATTTTTTAAAATAGCAACATACATATTTAACTAGATCATAAAATAAAAATGATCTAATTAAGAAAATAATTATTCAAAAACAGATTTTGATCCATTATCTTAGAAGTTTTCAGTCTCACTCCTACTACTTAGATATATAAAAAGTTTATAACTTTTGATGTATTGGTATGAAAATTGTATCAATCTTTCATTTTTATGCTTGGAACATTTTTGATTTTAGTAACTAGTTATTATATTTATTGACATCTAAAAACATTTATTTGATACTCTTATAAGATAGGAATTAAACAAGTAATTTTAGTAATTGATAAATTATGAAATACATAAGAACTAACTAAAAAATACCAAAAATTATTACTCAAAAAATGATCTATTAAAAAGAAACTAAGTGGCTAGTGTTAAAAGAAACACCTTGCATTATTTACAAAAAAATGTTTAGTTTAATATTGTATTAACAAATATTAAAAGTTTTTCTTTCAAAAATATTACATTCCCCAAAGATGTTTATCTATGTTTCTCAAATAAATTATAATTTTATACTTTTGTTTTGCAAGAATAAAATGTACTGCATTTCAATCCCAATCTATACTTAACATAATTATTAATGTACATATACAATTATTAGATTCAAAAGTTTTATTTCAAAATTTACTTATCTACACTAGAAATTAATATACTAAAGTAGGCTAATAATAAATGTAATAGAAGCATTGAAAATATACATTAAATTATGTAGTAATATTTATTAATTAAAATAAAAATAGAGTTTGATAATATTAATTACTTTGAATATGAGTATCTATACTGAACTACTCCACTTCTCACATCAATTACACAAACCTTATTTCCTCCACATGTAGCAACTAGAAAGGAACCTTTCGAATCAATATTAGGTTCAAAAATTGCTTGCCACACCTAAAATATTACAAATACAATTAAACATGATATATAGTTTTTTATTTTTTATATATTGTTACTTGAGTAGATACATCAGCAGAATCTTTATCTGTTTTAGAGTGACATCTTAAAAAATGTTTTGGTTTAAAATCCATTGTACAGGAATATCGCTAAATTATAATATTTATTTATCAAAAAACTTCAGAAATAGAAAAAAAAGATCAATAATATACTTTCTATGAATCTAAAATGTTTTGCTGTTTATTTACATAATTACAACCAAATGTTGATATTATTCTCCCGCTTTTTTTTATCATTAGACAAAGATAATGATATGAATTTTTAAGTATAAATAATTTACTCATTAAAAAACTATAAAAGTAATTCAATTTTGTTTATACATTTTTATTTATTAAGTGAATTTTTAAAGATTGAAGTATGGAGTATTTGTTTTATTGTTTTGAAGCTAAATATTGAAATTTAATTTATACCAATAGCGAGGCCAACGGTGATATCGTTATTTTGATTATTAACTTTGAACTATTATCAGTTATCTAATTAATGATACGATAAGAGATCTATATAAGCAGGTATTAACTTATTGTCTTAAAATAGAAATTATAGCATAGTAGAAGTTTTATATTAGAGCTAGGTATTTGTTTTCTTTCATATAAGATTACTTTTAGCAATAGTTCAATGTATTTTAGATCACACGGTTGTCTATCTCAGAAGAACAACGTGTGCGGCAACTCATCAATGAAGAAGAACTAGGTGACCGTAAGCCATCACAGTTCTTACGACATCTCCGTTCCCTTGCCGGCACTACTACATTACAAGACAATATTTTACGTCAACTTTGGCTCCGCCGTCTACCATCACATGCACAAGCTATTTTAACCGCACAATCAGAGCTTCCTCTGGATAAGGTAGCCGAGCTGGCTGACAAAATTGTTGAAGTGCAGCCAGCCCCCTCGCAATTCGTCCATGCTGTTGCCACGACGAACAATAAAAAGGAACTCGATGTTTTAGCTGCCATTGAAGCACTCGCAAAACAGGTAAGCGAATTATGTGCTAAACGCCCGCAACGTTCCCGCTCTAGGTCACGTAACCGTTCAAACGTGGAACTGACTAACGGCAAAGGATGGTGTTGGTATCATAGCACTTATGGAGAAAAGGCTGCCAAATGTAAGGCTCCCTGCAAGTATCAGGAAAACTCCAACGACAGTCAGTAGCGGCGGCAACAGACTGTCCGAACCCGAGCAGCCGCCTGTTTGTTACAGATCAAATAACAAAACGCCAATTTTTAGTCGACTCCGGTTCCGACTTATCTTGTTACCCTCAACGGCTACTACGGGAACGACGCCATGCCACCGATTACGACCTCAGCGCGGCCAACAACAGTACCATAAAAACTTACGGGACGGTCCATCTCAATTTGAATTTAGGACTTCGACGCAGTTTCCCGTGGAGTTTTATTGTCGCCGACGTGAGTACTCCTATCATTGGTTCCGACTTCATGGCATACTACCACTTGCTGCCGGATTGCCGTACCAAACGTCTTATTGATGGTGTCACAGGCTTGGCTGTGAATGGTAAGGTTTCCTCTGTAAATCAATGCAGCATAAAATCAGTTGCCAACACTTCCCCTTGGGCTGCATTTCTCGCAGAATTTCCGGACATCACACGTCCCACAGGATTGCCCAGGACAATAAAACATCAAACAGTGCACCACATTCTTACGACACCTGGTCAGCCAATAGCCTGCCGCCCACGCCGCTTAGCTCCAGGTAGACTAAAAATCGCCAAACAGGAATTCGCGGAAATGGTCAAGGCAGGTACCGCTAGACCTTCAAGCAGTCCGTGGTCTTCACCATTACATTTAGCACCGAAAGGGGAGAACAGCTGGCGTCCTTGCGGTGATTACCGCGCGCTGAACGCCCGAACTATACCAGACTCCTATCCAGTCAGACACATACATGATTTCTCGCACAACCTGGCTAATTGCACGCTATTTTCCACAATCGATCTGGTAAAGGCTTACCATCAAATACCTGTTAATCCGGACGATATATGCAAAACAGCCATTACCACTCCATTCGGACTTTACGAATTTCCTTTTATGACATTCGGATTGCGAAATGCTGGACAAACTTTTCAACGCTTCATAGACGAAGTTACCAATGGGTTGGACTTCTGTTATGCATATATTGATGACATTTTGGTATTCTCTAAATCGGAAGAGGACCACAAACAGCATTTACGCACTCTTTTCGGGAGACTTTCTGACTACGGTGTTGTCGTTAACCCGCAAAAATGTGTATTAGGTTCGGCTGAGGTGAAATTTCTAGGTTACCTAGTATCTTCTGAAGGCACCCGCCCGCCACCGGAACGCGTCGAAGCCCTACGACAGTATCCATTGCCAAAATCTATGCAAGGATTACGCCGGTTTTTGGGAATGGTAAATTTTTATCGCCGGTTTATTCCCAAAGCTGCCGACCTGCAAGAACCACTTCACGGTATTCTCAAAAGCCCGAAGACAAAAGGTTCCCAACCGATAGAATGGACTCCCGAGTTAGAAAAAGCGTTCACCACATGCAAAGAAAGTCTTGCGACCGCTACTCTTTTAGCACATCCTCATCCAGCCGCACGACTTGGACTATTCACAGACGCATCTAGCCAATCTATCGGCGCATGTCTGCAGCAGCAAGTCAATAACATCTGGCAACCCATAGCATTTTTTTCAAAGAAAATGTCGGTGAAACAAAGTGCGTGGCCTGCGTATTATCGTGAGTTGCTTGCCATCTATGAATCGGTGAAGTATTTCAGGCACATTGTCGAAGCACAACCATGTACCATTTTCACCGATCATAAGCCACTCGTATATGCTTTCACCCAACGGAGAGAAAAGATACCTCCTACGCAACTCAACCAGTTGACATTCATATCCGAATTCACCACCGACATTCAACACATTAAAGGTGATGAAAATATCGTCGCGGATACAATGTCACGCATTGAAGTTGTGTCTCTCTCGCTGGACTACCGAGCTCTTGCTGTATCTCAAGACACGGATGATGAACTCAAACATTTTACTGACAACAATTCATCTCTTCATTTGGAGAAGGTACAAGTGCCAGGATCTTCAGTCTATATTTATTGCGACACGTCAACGGGACGCCCACGACCATTTTTGCCACAACGATTCCGGCGTCACGCATTTGATCAGTTACACAACCTTAGTCACCCCGGTGCACGCGCAACAGCTCACTTAGTTTCAGAACGATTTGTGTGGCCAGCAATGAAAAAGGATTGCCGTTCCTGGACACGTGCCTGCGTCCACTGTCAGCGATCGAAAATAAGCCGACACGTCTCAGCCCCACTGGGAAACTTTGAAACACCTTCACGCCGATTCAAACATGTTCATGTCGATATCATCGGTCCATTGCCGCCATCACAGTCCTTTAGGTACTGTCTGATGGTAATCGACCGTTTCACCCATTGGCCGGAGGTGTATCCTCTCGAACGTATAACAGCAGATGATGTCACTAAGGGTTTCCTCAATTGCTGGATTTCACGCTTCGGAGTACCTCAATACGTTACGACTGACCGTGGTACTCAGTTTGTTTCAGCTACTTTAAAAACTTTAGCAAAACGTTTTGGTTTTACGCTTCGCCCCACTACCAGTTGGCATCCTGCTGCAAACGGATTCGTCGAACGAATGCACCGACAACTAAAGGCAGCCATCATGGCCCACGCAAAAGACTCGTGGACTGAGTCACTGCCTATCGTGCTTCTCGGAATACGTTCTGCGTTTAAGGAAGACTTAAAAGCCACGTCTGCGGAACTTGTTTATGGTGAGCCTCTTAATCTTCCTGGTGATTTCTTCACAGACAAGCAAGATAATAGCAGTACGAACGACCCTACTAGCTTACTAGATCGTCTTCGCAGTGTTATGAATAAAATTCGTCCAGTACCTGCATCTCGCCACTCAAATCCACGATCATTTGTTTTTGCGGACCTTAAGGACTGTTCACACGTATTTCTCAGGGAGGGAGGTGTCCGAGCAGCACTTCAACCGCCATATCAAGGTCCCTACGAAGTAATTGCCCGAAATGACAAAACGTTCACAATAAAAGTTCGAAATCAATCAGTTACGGTGACGATTGATAGAGTAAAACCTGCCTACCTCATGGTGAACGAAAGCACAACCGTTAGCCAGGCACATGCTCCATCAGGGACTGCCCCGGATACGACCAAACAAAAACAACCGCCTAATACCGATCCATCAACACAGCCAGTATGAACAACTCGCTCAGGCCGCCGAGTCAGATTCCCGGACATTTTTGACCCTAGCTAACTCCACTCCGTAGGGGGGTGGTGTGGCGGTCGAATATTCTAGAATGTCCGGCCGCCGCCGCCTCTAGAAGATTCGTCGCTCTACATAAGCGTGTGGCGGTCGAATGTCTAGAGAGTTCCGACGCCGCCTCTAGAAGATTCCTCTGACTATTTAAGGGCAAGATCGTCGCTCCAGTCAGTCAGTCGATCAGTCAATCACTTACGCATTCTGTCTTAAACGCGCTTCGTCTCTCGCTGTTATTTGTTAGTTCGTTGTAATATAGTATAGTTGTTATTAAATCTTAAAAGTGTTTATTACTTCTATATATTACACCTCGCTACAGTGTCAAAAAAAAATTTTGGTTGGAATTTGTTTTCCCTGCGTGTCAACTAGTTTTATAATCTTAAAATGCCTACCAATTTCATGATGATTATTTTCTAGCTCATTATTCAAATTAATAAATTTATTTCTCCAAATAATACTTCCCTGAAATTCTATTAACTCCATTCCTAAATTTTCAATACTTAACCACTCAAAAAAACTAAGTTCAAGTTCTTCAAATTTAATATTATGTGGATTTAATAAAAATTGTAATGTTGAATCTAGATGACGAAATTGGGAAAATCTGCTTGAAAATAATTCGTATGCATTTTTAAATATTTTATTATTATTAATTTCATATCAAACTGATCATCTTTAAAATGTTTTGAATCTATTAATTGCTTTTTCAAAGAAGGAAAATATTTCAAGTTTTCATTTTGTAGATCTTTACAAAAAATTTCAATTTTTTTTTCAAAAATTTTAATATTATCAAACATAGTTAAAACTGTTTGACCTCGGTCTTGGAGTTTTTTTATTTAAATCATTATAAATTGCAGTAAAATCTGCGAAAAACATCAAATCATTCAACCAATTTAAATCAGTAAGCTCTGGATAATCTTGAGATTTGTCCGACAAAAATAAACGTACTTCTGCCAGTAATTCAACAAATCGATGAAGAACTTGCCCGCGACTCAACCATAGAACACTATTATACATAAGAAGGCCAGAGTATTGCGATTCCACCTCTTCTAATAATTTGGCAAACTGTCGGTTGTTTAAAGCTCGAGATGTTATGAAATTGACAATTTTTGTAACAGTTTCCATTACTTTTTGAAGCGATTTCATACTATCTTTTGCACAAAACGCTTCTTGGTGTATAATACAGTGAAAGTTGATTAAAGGATGCGAAATTTCATTGGAAAAAAGTTTAATAAATCCATTGTTTTTACCAACCATATTTGGAGCGCTGTCAGTAGTTATTGAAACAATATTTTGAATATTGATTTTTAAATTTATAAACTCTTTATTATATATAATTAATATATGCATTTATATATGCTCAAAAACGTCAAATATGCAAAATAAGTTTACGTAATTGTAATCTAGACTTCATGAATCAAATTTATATCATACTTGGGTTTAATTCATATTGCGCGAAAAAAATATGCAAAGTCATAAACATCCGAGCTCTAATAATAATAATAATATGCTCGTACTACTGTTATTTTAATAAGCTAAATTTACACTCTAGTTATACAATTATTAAAAGATTTTATACTGAAGTCAGGTTTAATTTACATTAATTAATTTAAGGGTTCTCTGAACACAAATAACAAAAACACACTTACCATTTATTCACAACATAGATCACTGGTTTTGTGCAGGCGAACTCTCTCACCTCCAGTGACTCTATTTACACAACACAGTTTGATAGGTATTAAGTGCTTTTAGCCGGTTCGGGTACCCACTATAGTATTTAGTGCCCCTGTCCTTAACAATATTTTAACCAAAAACATACATGAATCGGTTTTTTCAAAAAGGCCATATCTCCATAAAATTATATTTTTCAGGAAACGTAAAAAACTGTTTTTAAAGATCAAAATAAATTTAGTTGAAAATTGAATAAGGGTTGAATTATTTGATTCCCTTATAAAAAACCAACTATGATATAATATTGACTATTTATACCTATTGGATTATTTTATAAGGAAATGAACGTGTTTGAGATATGGCCTTTTCTAATGGATTGTAAATTTTCATTGATTATGACCTCGCGACCTCGAGGACACGTGGGGATGCGCTAATCCGTCATGTGCGCATGACCCTTAACTTGAGAGAAGGTTCGCACTCTGATCCTAGCTTTGGTCTTGTGATTGGGGCCAGAGTGGTGTTCTGCCGTGCACCTTAAATTTTGGCTAAAGAGCAGTTTTGGTGGTGGGCCTCTGCGAACCTACGCTAGGATAAGTCTCTGTTATACTGGGTGTGGAAGGCCCTCGGCGTCACCTGTTATAACCGTGAACAGGTCGCGTTACCACTTTCTTTTTGTGATAGGTAAATAGCTTTCAATGCAGATTCCGGAAATAGTTAGTGGACCCAAGACTCCCCGCACCATTATCTCCGGTGGCTGGTGGGCCAATCCGACCCCCCCCCCCCCCCC